AGGCATGTGTGTGTGTGTGTGTGTGTGTGTGTGTGTGTGTGTGTGTGTGTGTGTATTACATGTGTGTGAGTGCCTATTAGGCTTGAAGGAGGTGTCAGGTCACCTGCAGCTGTAGTTAAAGGTGGTTGGTGATCTACCTAACGTGGGTGCTGGGAACTAAACCCAGGTCATCTGAAGAGAGCAACCAATGCTGAGCCATCTCTCCAGCCCCTCCTTAAGTTAGTTTGTCTGGGGACAAGTAACTAATGCAGTGACCTTCTATAGAAGTAGGGTCCATGCATACTGAAATAAGGTGCAGGCCTAAGTTATAAGATGCTCAGGAGGAGCGGAGGACGGCAGGAGAGCTGCCGCTGCTGCTGTTTGCTTTGTTTCATGCTATCACAGGTTTGGAGCCAACTCAGGCTGGCTCTGGTACTGCGGGCCTGAGGTGCCACAGACTGTCTCTGTGGTAGGAGCATGTAGTAGAGGAAGCTGCTCATGTCCTGGAAGCAAGGAGGCCAAGATATACCTTACTAGCTCCAAAACTTCACATGTGCATGCATAATCTGGAGTAACCACATAAACGAAGAAAGTGAAAAGAGACCACTGAGCATGAAGGGACGAAGAAGCACCAGGGTAAAAGAAAGCACATGGGCAGCTGGGGCTGCCTCTCTCATGAACTCAGTTGACTGCTCTCTGATCACTCACCTCTGATGATGCAGCCTTGCCAGGCCACGAAGAAAGAGGATCCAGGCAGTCCTGATGAGACTTAACAAGCTATGGGCAGATGGCAATAGTGGAGAACTCCCCCTTTCAGTGCACTAGGGGAAAAGGATGAGGGGAAGAGGGAAGGAGGGTGGGCCTGGAGGAGTTGAGAGAGGAGGCTTCAGTGGGGATATACAATAAATAAATGTGAAGAAAAAATTTTTTTAAAGTGCCTGGGTGTGGACTTCTCAAAGAACAGTCACAATTACGGATCTTTGCGGTTGCCATTGTTGAGGGCTGGTGGCTTCTGAAGTTACATCTCAAAGCAATTTGGAGGGATCTGAGTAAGATCACAGGATGTTCCCCTGCACCTGATAGAGCTGCAGCTCACAGGGTAAAAACACCCCAGGACATGGGCGCGGGGAGAAAGTTAAATGTTTTTATTATAATCGGAATTTTAGTCTTGTTTGTGAGAGTCCCAGAAAAATGTCTGTGAGAGAAGAAGGGTCATAATGGGGAAGGACAGAAAGACACATGAATTAAGGGGTGGGAGGGAGACAGCGAGAAAGCAAGACTGACGCTGGTCCTGCTGATGGTGCTGGGAATCCATGGCACAACTGACTAATCCAGAGTTGCCTGAGGAGACAGTATGTTCCTCTTAGGGACCAAATAACTTCAACTTTCTACTTTACAATGTGTTTACAGAAAGGTATCCTTCCTTCCTTCCTTCCTTCCTTCCTTCCTTCCTTCCTTCCTTCC